TGGATCCTGCTCTCCAGATACTGAGTTTCATCACGAAGGAAAGCCTTACCCATTCGGTGGCATTTGGTACCCTAGTGGCACCATTTCAGCATGCTCCTTGTCAAACAAAGCGATAACAGCGGTACAGATGGATCCAAATGACACTTCTCTACTTTTCCATTGCAAATGCTTCTGCCCTACCAGTCTCCCCTCACACAGTTTTAAAAGCAGTTTTGTTACAGATATGTTCTGCAAAAGCACGTTCTGCTTCTTTTAAAGATGGAATGTTAATCTGTAGCTGTCTTACCTAACATCATCGAAACTGTACGTTGCAATAACTTAAATAGGACTTATCAATGTTACTGTCAGTAACTGTCTGTCTTCTCACTTTAGGCAATTTACGTAACAGCAATATTTCCTTATCTGGTCCTAACCATATTCCTTATTCAAGGACTCACTCTACCAGGAGCCACTGAAGGTCTAGCTTACCTCTTCACTCCTAACGTAAGTATCACTGCTATAGTCAGAAATACTCTTTTTCCTTCCCCTCCACCCTCAGATCTCATGCTGTACATTCATTTTCCAGGAACTCTCGATCTAGCTCCCTATCCAAGAGCTCAGCTAAGCTGTTTTTCCTGAGAGGAAGTGATTTAGTATTTTAATATAAAAATTACAATTCTATATGCTTACTTTAAGCATAATTTAATAAGTACAATTTTATAGGCTTACTTTAGCAAGAATAGAAGCAGAAAAGTATTTAACAGTTCAGTAATACGCATATCAGAAAATACTCGAAAATTGACTATATGTTACAGATGCCTCTGTGTTGAATGTGTAAGTGAAACTGATGCACTTCACAAACAGAATCATCTCTTTTACACATGATAAAGACAGGATTTCCCCGCCAACACTACAGAATTTACACAACTGATCTTTTAAGAATTTACAAGGAAAACAATTGAGGAACTACACTGCAAAGTGATGGGTTTTTTTTAAAGTTGAAAGTCATTTTCTCCTACCCCTGTTTCTCCATAGCTGAAGTTTCTCCACCAGCCCTGTAGCTTTCCCTAAAAGGAATCACTTACTGGAGAATACCCCTCTCCCATTTTTTCTCATCTTCTCAAGGGGACAGGAGTCCAGATCACTCCATGCATTGGCTATTTCAGATGGACCTCTTCACACTGTCCTTAGTGGCCTGCTGAAATGCCAAGTCAAATTGTCCTGCCTAGTGGCTGCTGTCAACCACAGGCTCCTCACAGCTCTGCCTTCGTGCTAGAAGGCTCCATAAAACGGTGAGTGTGGAGGAGGAAAAGCAGCACCCACTGACAGATGGTCTGGGAGCATCCTCTGCCTCGGCAGCCACACCAGTGCTTCCCGCTTCTGGAGTGCTGGGTGTTTCCCTTTCCCTCCCTCCAACAGGCACTAAGAAAAACATAAGCCAAGAAGCCCAGAGAGATGTTATATGCCAGCCTGAAAAGGGACAACAGCAAGAGAAAGGTCTGACAAGACACCCCTTTCATCCCTCCCTCTGCAAGCCCAGTGGCATGGGCACCCGTTGGAACGCTGTCAGAGATCAGAAAGGACAACTTTGGTCTTTGCAGGAGATCAGGACATGCCCTTGCATTTCTGCAGGGCCCAGACAGGACAACAAACGCTTGGTGCAGTGTCTTAATGAGGAAAGCAGATTAGACAACACAACCAGAACGGGGCTTGGCCTGTTGTCATCTGGTCTCAGCCTGGCTGTCAGGTTTCCCTGGAAGAGCTCAGACATCTTCAGGATTTACAATCATTGCACAGTGAACTTCAAGGAAAAACTAGATTTATGTGCATTCAATTTATGTATGAAAAAGCCTGGAGGTATTGCAGTGCTGAGGAGGAACAGATCATCATAAAAGAAAAGCCGGATGGTTTTGTAGACTGGTGCCAGAAGTCAGAATGAAAACGGCCATCAACCTGCAGTGAATGATTAGCTGGTTTAAGGAAGAAGTTCCTGGGGACATCCTTGAAGAGACATCTGAAGATGGTTTTGGTGATGAAACTGTTCTTATCTACACACATGAAGATACTGATGCAACAGCCTGGTAAGTGATATCTGCTGTGGGTGTTGCTATTGCATAGAACGACAGAGGTATTGTTTTGTTAAACTAACATACAAACTGTTACGGAGGATTTTGGCACTTCAAGGATTTAAAAAAAATACAATAAGAATATAACTGCAATATTTCCTTTCTCTCTTCTTCCTCTTGCTCACAACTGCAGTACCACTATCGCCTTCTCTGTTAGATTTTTAATGGGGAACTATTCCCACAACTGATGTCGGTAAATACACGGATTTTTCTTGCTAAGAGTTGTTTTTGGTTTGTGGGTTGAGCTGTTTTTTTTTTCTTTTGCAAAGGTTTACCTGGCCCATCCAGACCACAGTAGCTTACGAGACCCTAAAGCATATTACTTAAGTGTTTGCTGTTTTCTTCTTCCTTTCCTGTCCTTTTGCAGGAAGTTGGTAAAGTTTTAGCAAAATAAAGCAAGAGTGAACTCACTTATTGCCCATTTCAGCTTGCTGAAACAAAAAAAAAATTGAAAGGAAAAAAATCCAACCTTTCTGAAATTCTCCACTCAGTGGAAGCAATCTTTTCAAACTTTTTTCTGAGTTGGCAGTGCAGCAGATATTGTAGTTTCTCTGTAATAGCTGCCACATGCAGTCTTTAGTAACTGCAACACCTCACTGTTGGTTTTGAAAAACTGGAAGAACCTAGTGCTGTAAGTCCCATCTTACCCAGTCTCACATCATAATCACTCAACTGAATTGACTTTTTTTTTCCACCAAACAATTATTGTATGAGTTCATCCACTTTCCAAGTTTGTATTTTTAATTCCCATTAACAAATCCAACAAATAGTAACTACATTAATATAGATCTTCAGTATGGCAGGCTGTGATTTTATTTTCATGCGGAAATACATAGTTGGCTTTTGCCATCTGACACACTTTCACTGCTTAAATTCTAGAACAAATAATGAGTATTTCTTTCCATTGAATTTCAGGCATGGAGAAATCTGATGACTTACCCTCTCTAAATCCTTGGCTATCTGGAAAGCGAAGCTGACAAGAAAACAAAAAAGATATTGAAGTTATGCTCACAGACACTTAAGCAAGGGAAAGCAGAAGTTGTACAAAGATGAAGCAACACAGGAGATGGAACAGACACTTTTGGAAAGGCTCTTGGGGAAAAAAAAAAAATAAATCAGAACCAGCCAAAAAGGGATCCCATTAAGCGCCAGCAATGACCTTTAAAGAGTTCATCTTGTGTAAACATCTGTGTTGGTTCAGGACAACAAATGCCTCCTTCTCCTGTCTCTTTCATATCTGAAAGAAATTCAGAGACACTAAATATTTGAGAGTTCACTGGCAATGAACAATTCCAGGAACTTGGCTGGGCAACTGATGCCTGTGCCCAGAGCTCTGTAGCTACTTAATGAGCAGTGAGAATAGCCAAAAGAAAAAAAGAAAAGGCAGCACAGGCACCAGATCCTCTATTACAGACTCAATTTGTAATTTTTCCCTCTAATCTGGAGTTTAGTTTTACACCTGATATATTACTGTAAATGGATACTTAAAACTCCTTCAAGGTACCCGGTCTGTCCGTATTGTTTCTGGTATTAGAAGAACAAAAGCATTACCTTAATGAACTGCTGCCTTTAAGTGGTGCAGAACTACTTGTTGGCCACTTGCTTATGAGAAAAGCAATAGCTGTTTTTACACCAAAGTTCAATCATAGGCATCCTAGTATTGTTTAATTCTGTTTTAAGAAAGTTTTTGTCTGTGTTTCAGGTGCTCAAGTAATCAGACATCTCACCTTCCCTCACTACTCCCATGTTCATTCATTAACATTCTGGTTGTATATCTTCATCCGAATATTTCTAGCTTCAGCATATTTTTCTTCTGAAGACTCACTTATGAAACTATATGCCATATTACTAAAAATATAAAATAACTTTTAGATTCATAACTATTTGCTTAAGACCAGACCATGACATTGCCATGACATGCTTGTCTGTCCACTATTTGTTCAAGCTTGGGGGCTGATTAGTATCTTTCAGGGTCAATAAATGCATCACATCTGTCACCAAACTAAACTATCTCCAGACTCATTTGCCAAAGTCCCCAGTCAGAAAGCCAGACTTGTAATAGTCGCACCTATTGGCACTGACAACTGACTTGGCAGGACTTAATCAAACTGTCATAGGCCACGTAGCAACGCAAATACTGAGTATCTGCATTGAACGGCAATCTAGTTCTGCACCTGCACTCCTACGTGTGAGCACTCTGGAAGTGGAGAGTTTGCTTATTATCTTCCAAAATAAACCTCCAGAAAGGTTTGCCTAAGCCGAAGCATTTCAGCCAGGAAGGGTTACACATACCTGCTTCCTGTGCTATGCTGTACAAAACGTTACACCAGTTCTGCTGTGGCCAAGCACTGGCACACTTGTGGAGAAAGCATGTGCAGTGATGGCATTCACTGCATCCAGACTCGCTGAGGTCAATCCATTATTGTCACTGTTCAGTCTCAGACCAGCTTCAGAGAAACCCAAAATGCTACTAAGGGTCTTTTGCCATATTTACCTCTCATTCCTACAAACGCTTCTAGTCATGTACCAGGATCAATAGCACAAGCACACAGACATGACACAGAGAACATACAATTCAGCCCGCAAGACCAGCATGCAGATCGATGTAAAACAAAATGAAATATTCTACAGACCCGGTATTACTTTTGGGCCAGCTGATTTTTAAAATACTCATTTTTAACTAACACTGTTTTCCATTCCCCTTACTTGGTAACGGACCGGAAAGTAATCCACCTGGTAGTGTATGAATATAACACGTCTCTTCTCAGTTTCTGCAGGAAACTAATACCTATTGAGCATGTTTACATTTTGCACATTACCTATGTTTTATCCTTTTCTTTGAGACTGATCTTAATAGTAAGATTCCTTCTTAATGCATCTGTTCAAAATTGGATATTATTCTCTGTAATCCAACAATCATTGACTTTTTAATTTAGCTTCCTCTATCACGTCGCCCTTACATCAAAATTCAAATTTCGCTCGTCAGTTTCTTTTTTCCTTATTCTTCCTATGTCGCCCTTTCATTTTTTACTGCTGTTTTCAAAGTATTTTGAATCCAATATGCTCTTTTTAATGAATACCCTCTTCTTGTCTGCTTGGGTTTTTAGTCTTTTTTTAACTTTTTTTAAAAAGTGAATTTGGAAAGCTATGGAACCACTTTGTGTCTTAAAACAACAAAGGTTTAGTATTTGCTTTTACAGTTCTAGGAAGATAATATATTTTTAAACTGTAAGTTATCCAGTATGTGGATTAACAAAAAGAAATAAATTCAAGAAAAAGGTAATGTCCCTATGCGTGCCTAATGCCTATCATTTGGAAACACATTTTTATCATCAGACAGAAGAGGTCTACAATGAAACGGATTCTATAACTACTACATACATTTAAATAGACCAAATTATGTCTTCAAAGACACCTGCTTTACTGACATATTTTGTACTAATGTCCATTTTCAGCGTATTTAAATGGCAACACAACTCACAATTTCACGTGAAATGACAGATTAGCTACGAGAACTGGGAGAGAAAAAGAAATTTTAATTCAAGCCTAATACATGCATTTATTCCAATTATTTCAGCTGAACACTTTGAAAAATCCCCGTGTATGGCTTGATGCAGCAACCCAGATCTTCTTCTCTCTCTCTTTGGCTTTTGGAGGGCTCATTGCATTCTCAAGCTACAATCCACCAAAGTGAGTAGAAGTACAACCTCTACAAGTTGGTTAAATTCTTCCTGCATTTCATGCAATTTTCTAAAATTTTCAAAACTCTTTTTTGGGATATTTCTAAAGGATCTTAACAGTTGCTGTCTTTCTAAAAGACCAAATAGATTTTCTAGCAGCAAGGGGGAAAAAATATCTAAAAAAAGAAAATGAGAAAAAACAGAGAATGACAAATATGTTTCAGAGACCTTTTATTTTACCAATTAGAACAGATTCGTTTCTCATTGTCAGCAAGTATGTTCAACATAGACTAACAACTTGTATAGTAGGCTAAAAATAAGTAACTATTTTCCATACCACAGGGAGGATAAATTCTGCCTTTATTTAGTCATTTTGCTTGTTTGAATTCTATTTCTAGAAATAACTGTGAAAAGGATGCTGTGACAGTGGCAATTGTGAACAGCGTGACGTCCCTCTACGCTTCCATCCCAGTCTTTTCTGTTTTGGGGTTTAAAGCAACCACAGCCTATTGGGACTGCTTGGACAGGTGAGAAACTTGAGTTTCCACTGTTATACTGTTGTTTCAACATCTACATAGATAATGTGTTACTTGAAAAACAGGCATTTAGAGAATTTATTTTCCCTAAAAAGGAAAAGCATCTGTATGGAGAAGTCTAATAAAAAACCAGTAAGTATTATGGCACTGAGGCAAGAATGATCAGGGTAGCATTTGTAAGAAGCAAGACAAATTATAAGACAATCCATTTCAAGTAGTGCATCAAGGATCACATCTCAGACTAGCATTAGCAGTTAAGAAAACAACACCTTTGTATTCCATCAGATTCATTAAGTTGTTAAACACAAGTGGTGGAAATGGTCTGGAGAGTTGACAAAATAAGAACAGAAATGTTTTGAAGACTGCATCTGCATGAAGTATTCAGACTTTGTATCTGAAAGAGAAGACATTAAATAGTCTGAGTATCTTCTCCTAACTATTTTATATGTAACTCCTCATTTTCTATGCTGTAAATAGCAGCATAGAAAGTAAACATAACTTTGTATTAACATCTGAATATAGCATTGATAAGACAAGGGGCAATCACTTCAAACTGAAAAAGGGCAGATTTAGATTAGATCTAAGGAAGAAATTTTTCACTCAGAGTGGTGAGGCACTGGAACAGGTCGCCCAGAGAAATTGTGGATGCCCCATCCCTGGAAGTGTTCAAGGCCAGGTTGGATGAGGTGTTGAGCAACCTGGTGTAGTGGAGGGTTTCCCTGCCCATGGCAGGGGGGTTAGAACTAGATGATCTTTGAGGTCCCTTCCAACTCTAACCATTCTATGATTCTATGATTTCCAGCCACGTCATCTGCTAATGGTCATTTAACACATAATTTAACAGATCATTTAAACTAACGATATGTTGGCTTCTCTGGTAGGAACATTATCCACATCATCAATGAATTTGATCTTCCAGAAGAAAGCATCATGCGACAGAACTATACAGCTTGGGTTAGTTTCTTAAATTCATCATACCCAGAAAAAGTTGCTGGACTCAAACTGAGAAGCTGTGACCTTCAAGAATTTCTTGATCAGGTACCATAATTGCTTTCAACAAAGTAACCCTTAAACAAAATCTGTAGAAGGTCTGGTATCTTCCTTTTTCTTATAAGTACTCGTACTTTATTCTACTTGTAATGAATATATTATATATTATACATAATCCTGAAACAAAACAATTTTTCAAAATTTGAAACAACACTACTGTAGGACAGTCTGAACTCAAAGCTGTCTGGTATGGCATGTGAAACTACACGTTATTATAACAAAATGAATCTTCAAAGGTGCTCCCACATGGAGCCTACCATGGACACTAGATTCAGTCCTACTTTGGTTTACAGGAATAAGCACAACAGGGAAACACATCTAGCTGAAAGATTATAGAGAATGGATGCTGAATGGAGTCTCCTAATTCCATATTTAGGAAAGTATCAAAAAATCTAATAAATGTTCACTTTTTGCCTTTAATCACATATATGACCACCAGGAAGGTATCTTATCACTGTCTTGTATCCTCCTTCTCCATCTTTTTATTCCCTCATCCTCTCCCTTTTATTTTTCCTCCTCTCTGTACAGGATCTCACCAGTATTTTCTCCTTTTTTTCCGCACAACCCTCTTTCTCTCCATCAAAACACATCATGATCCTTTCCCTTTCCTTCTTTTCCAGCCCTCTCAAAATATTTCCCCTACCACTAAACGCAGATGTTTTTTCTCTCTTTACTTCTCCAACTTCATTCCAGTTGCTTCAGTGATCCCACTCAGTCCTGTAACTCTCATTTACTATTCACCCATTTGTACTCTCTTGTTACAATTCCTTACCAAATGTGAAAAGAATAAGGTCGCAGTTGGAGGAGAGAATAAGAAATAAAGGAGCTTGCGAAAAAAAATAAAATGGAATCTTAGGACAAAAGGGTGGATGCATTTGCTAGAGAGAGTATGCTAGTGCATGGCAGCCTTAACACGCAACGATGGTGAAACAGGCTATTTTACTCACGTGGCGGAGAAGTCCAAGGACAACACTCCAGCTTTGACAAGAGCCGGTTTCTGTTTTGTCTGGCTTCCTCTGATGGCACCCATTTCTGAATTACGGTTTAACATATTTTACTGCCAAATTAGAGCAACATTAGCATTTTTCAACGCTTAGATTTAAATATCCTTGTCCTTGGGAGACTGAATTCAAAGCAATTTGGCTGAAATTGGGGTTTTCTCTATTAGCCTTTTCTGTCCTGGTAATTATGGGTTTTTTGTGATCAACAACTCACCAGTTCTCTTGCTGCTAGAGTGGCAATCATACCCTTATTTACATCTTTTTCTTTCCAGTTTTTTTTGTGATCAACAGCTCACCAGTTCTCTTGCTGCTAGAGTGGCAGTCATACCCTTATTTACATCTTTTTCTTTCCAGCAGCTACTGCATCACAGATATTTTTAAAAACATAATTTAAGATGGTATTAGCAAAACAATTGCTACTTCAATTACAACTCTCAGATCTGCTGTACTCAGGACCCATCTCTCTCTGCGAGCTGGAATTCTGCTCTATGACTGTCTACACATCTCTGATAGACCATTTAAAATAAAAATCCCCACAAACGCTCCCTGCTACTCGTTTTCTCAATGACTGGCTGCTACAGAACCTCACAGCGTCCTTGACTGACCAGCGGCCTTGACTCCAGGGAAGGACAGAAGCATGTTATAACTCCATATGCATGAGAAAGTACATTTATGCCATTATAATGCGTATTTTTATCTGTTTGTGAATTCTGCAGAGTGTATCGGGAACTGGCTTGGCTTTCATCGTTTTCACTCAAGCCATCATTCTCATGCCAGGCTCCCAGGCCTGGGCCATCCTGTTTTTCATAATGTTGTTCAGCCTGGGCCTTTCTTCTATGTTTGGGAACATCGAGGGAGTCTTCACACCTCTTCTAGAGCTTCGAGTTATATCTAAATCAATACCCAAAGAGCTTTTATCTGGTAAGATATTTGCTTTGCTTTGTTCAAAGAAGGTGGTTTCTTTATAGATGTGCAAACTAGCACCTCCTTAATAAATATCAGAGAGGGATTAAGAATTTGTAATATTAATTTAGCTATCTCACAGTGCTGGTGAGGGCAGTGGCCTGTGTTTGCAGAAGGTAAGCACATAGGTGAGGTAGCAGTTTTGGCAGAAGCTGTCAGATCACAGTATTCTATATATTGCTCGACAGCTTTTTTCTTAGCTTGCAAGAGCTGTTTCAGTCTGAGAAAGCTTGTTAAATTGTTGTTCCTGGGGTCAAGTTCACTCTGAGCTGTTGCAAACATCAGGAAGAGCCTTGCCTTCACTTAAGCCTTTGGCACCTAAACAAGTCACTTCAAGGCAACCAGTGACACTAGCTGGTCTGTCACAACCACCTGCTCATGAACTTACCACATTGTCATAACTGTTAAGACAGGCCATTCATTCAAGTTTATGCTGCTATAGATTATTTCACGTTTACTGTGAACATGCCAGAGTAGAAAATCACCACTTCGAAACAGAGGAACGAGTGCGTGAGACCCTATTCTTACATCAAAGCTGGAATCTTTTCAACCAGAGACAGTGACTGAACCCAGCCTGCTCCTCAGGAATCAGACTCAGTGAGAGTCTGAGAGATCTTACTAAGAAACTGATCTAGAAAAATCAGTCTAGAAAAATTTCTGGCAGTTTGAAGTAACAGATTAACAATTCTGCAATGTGCCCTTTTAAATTCTTATGGTGAATATTGCTGTCATGCCTTTTTTAGAGTCTTTCTGTGGCATCTAAATTATATTCTTCTCATATTACAACTTTTTATGTAGAAACAAATTTATTTACAACTTGATGAGGTAACCATACTATTTTGAAATTGATTTTCCAATTGTGAGCTTTTTTTTTTAAAAAAAAAAAAATGTAGCATGAGGCCAATTTTTACACAGCGTTGAACCAAAGCCCATTTCAGAGTCAGAAGCTCTTAGTAACAGAGCACAAGGACATAGAGATTGCACTTGCATCCCAGGTCTGCATCCAGTGACACTTTCCCTCCTTCCCACTTTTTCTCTCAATCACTCCAAAACCATGTCTTGGCTAAATGAGAACTGACTGTTCAGAAGTGCAGTGAAATCTGAACCATACACGGTGGGACATAAAGGGGTCTACATTTGTAGCTCTGGGCTGTTTGAGGAAATAGGGAGCAGAAATCCAGTGAGCCCTTACACTTTGGGTGGAGGTCACGGGAGGTCATTTTGCCCCTCTATTCTGCTCTCGTAAGACCCCACCTGGAGTACTGCGTTCAGCTCTGGGCCCCCCAGCGTAAAAAGGACATGGAGCTGTTGGAGTCCAGAGGAGGATAAGAAGGACATGGAGCTGTTGGAGTCCAGAGGAGGGCCACAAAGATGATCCAAGGGCTGGAGCACCTCTCCTATGAAGACAGGCTGAGAGAGTTGGGGCTGTTCAGCCTGGAGAAGAGAAGGCTACAGGTCACTTTCTAGCAGCCTTCCAGTACCTAAAGGAGGTCTGTAGAAGTAGGTACTTCAGAAAGCTGAAGAGGGACTTTTCACAAAGGCATGTAGTGATAGGACAAGGGGTAATGGCTTTAAACTGAAAAAAGGTAGATTTAGATTCGATACAAGGAAGGAATTTTTCACTGTGAGGGTGGTGAGGCACTGGAATAGGCTTCCCAGAGAAGTTGTGGATGTGCCATCCCTGAAGTGTTCAAGGCCAGGCTGGATGAGGCTTTGAGCAACTTGATGTAGTGGAAGGTGTCCCTGCCATGGCAGGGGTTTGGGTCTAGATGATCTTTAAGGTCCCTTCCTACTCAAACCATTCTATGATTCTGTGATTCTCAGGTCCCAGCTGCCTGCACTTCAGGTCAATGACTGTATGGAAATAAGGGCACTTGAAACTTACTACATCAGTCAAAAACTAATACAGGGCAATAGCACAGCCCAGCCCAGGCTATTTTTGGAAGCACTAACAACTGGAGGATGCTCTGAGTCACAAAAATGCATTCCTCCTGCAAAAGTGTTGCCTCTTGGCCTACACACAGGGAAACACTGCGCTTGGGAAGCAATATTAGCTCCTCTAAGAAAGAGCAGCTTGTTGTGGCTCCATAGAGATAGAGAGACTAAAAATCAGTGGAACAAGAGCAAAAATAATTTAGAACAAAAACATACCCACCAAGTTGAATTCACTACTCCAGTAACAAACATATCTTTTTTTCCTTCAGGTATAATATGTCTAATTTCCTTCCTCGTTGCTCTGTGCTTTACGCTGGGTTCGGGGAGTTACTGGATTGACATTTTTGACAGCTATGCAGGCTCAGTGCCTCTTCTAGTCATTGCCTTCTTTGAAGTGATTGGGGTTGCGTATGTCTATAAAATTAAAAGGTAAGTTGGACGCAGACTGATTTTTTTCTTTTAAGAGGTAAATGCATATTCCTCTCAATCCATGTATGTTGCATACAGGTATACAATATTAACTTAATTCTGTAGCACTTAATCAGTTCTGTGAATGTATTTACCATTCTTTGCTTCAAGTCTCCTATATTTGTAAAACAGGAGGGATAATCTCTGCATAGGACTTATGGAAGGGGGAATCCTAAGTTTAAAGCTAGAAAGTCAACAGCCATTGTGGTTCTTTGGTCAAAAAAGATTATGCTGTCTTTCAAACATTGTCCTGCTACTGCCCTTTTGTTTTGTATACTCTTGTATTTTTTTTTCTACCATTTTTTTTTCTCCTCAAGCTTCACAGTAACATGCAGTAGCTTCCCCATATTAAAAGGCTCAATCTGCCTGCTGAGAATATCCGCAGTCACGGACGTTAACTAAATTCACTTTTTAGTTTAAAAACTTTCCTACATCCTTTGTAATTGTAAATGCCAGAAACCTTACTCCAATTCTCACTCTGACACTTGAATCATTAAAGTCCTGATATTCTGTGGATCAGTTTGTATATCATATAGACAACGAACTTACATTCAGCTACAATTTTAAAAATAAGAAACTGAAGAAAAGTCTTCCTCAGTTATAGCTAAAGTTCCTGCATTAAATTTTCTAGATCCACTGTTAAGATCCTTGGAGCATTTCCCATGTTAAATGGTGGTAACTCCCAGGCGTCATAAACAATTTCACACACCTCTCTCGCTGCACATACAGCTAGTCTCAATCTTCCATGATGCAGAAGCAGCAATAGAATCTGGTTTCACACACTACAACAGACTCCGAATTCCACAGCACCTGTATTTTCTCTGTTCCGCTAGTATACATACACTTTTTCCTCTTTGTTCCTATGGGATACGAGCACAGTCAAACGACTTTTCCCTAGTTCTGAGAGCATTTCTAGTATCTTCAGTTAGATTAACAATACTGAAGAAAGAGCTGGTGTTTGAACACACACACCCCACAATTCCTATTCCAGATTACAAAACTCTTTCTAACTTGATAGATACAGGTCATCAAGTAACTATCAAACACAGAACCATACATCTACTGCCCATTCAATGTACAAAACTGTAACAGGTACATGTAAAAGATCAGCTCCACGTCCAAACGACCTACACTACTGACTGCAGAGGAAGCTGGCTCAGGTTACAATAATTTTGTTCCTGACCTCATTTGATTCATTTGGTGGTTAATTCAGTCTTCTTAACAACAAGCTTTGTTTGTTCCCTTGGCAATTTTGTCTTTTTAAAATATTTGTATAGTCCTACAGAACTGCTGTAATATTTTCATCACTTATGAGTACTTAGAAACCTCAGACTAGGTGCTCAGGTCATGTAAACTAACAATGTAAACTGATCATTCGTCCCTGGTAAGGATCAATAAAGACCTACTTTATTGATATTACTATTTAACGGCTTACCATAGACTTAAATAAATAAGAATATAGAAAAGAAAATATTTAAGGAGCTGTACTATATGTTTAAAACTTATAGAAAAATATGAAAAACATCAAACTGTTACCACTTAGATCTGACATGATCATAAACACGCCTCCTCTTAAAAGGTTCAGTAAAGATGTGAAATGGATGACTGGACGAAAACCCAATCTCTACTGGCAGATCACATGGAGGTTTGTTAGTCCTCTGCTCCTGCTAACTGTCTTCGTGGCATTTGTTGCTCTTCAGATACAGAAGCCGCCAAGCTACACAGCCTGGAACCCTAAATATGTATGTTGCTGAATATTTTCAAAATTTTCTTAAAAGCAAGGGTTGTGTATTTTTCTCCTCTACCAGATCCTTTAAAATCATTGCCATCTACTGCTTATCTGTATAACGCAGCCTGAAATGATGCAACGCTCAGAACGAGAGGGCTCCAGTATGCACAGAGGTTACATGTACTGAAACATTTTCTTGTTAACAGGGCCTCTTCTTGAGAAGTCTCACATACTCCATGCTCCATATTTCTTACAGATGTGTGTAATGGAGGGAACTGTTGCAGTGAAATGTCTCACAGAGGCTGTACCGATAGGGGGTTCAGAGGTGGAACAAATGCATAAGCAGAGCTTTATAGCTGCATAACAGATGCTGGGGATGAAAATATTTCTCAGTGAGAACTACCAGTATCACTGGGGCCCTGATGAATATAGGAATGTGTACCTTTGACAGGCAGACAGGGAGGGAGGCAGTGGTCTGAGAACAGTGTTCGTTAATTCAGCGCCAAAGAGGTGTCAATACTGAGAACGTTTGATCTGGATGGCGCTGGCTCACATCAGTTGCAATTTAGAATCATAAAACCATTTAGGATGGAAAGGATCTTTAAGATCATTGAGTCCAAGCATAAACCTAACGCTGACAAGTCCACCACTAAACTATGTTCCTAAGCATCACATCTACATGTCTTTTAAATACCTCCAGGGATGGTCACTCCACCACTTTCCTGGACAGCCTGTTCCAATGCTTGACAACTCTTTATAAGAAGAAATTTTTCCTAATAGCCAATCTAAACCTTCCCTGGTACAACTTGAGGCCGTTTTCTCTTGTCCTATTGCTCATTACTTGGGAGAAGAGACTGACACCCACCTCACTAAACCTCCTGTCAGGTAGTTGTAGAGAGTGATAAGGTCTCCCCTGAGCCTCCTTTTGTCCCAGCTAAACAACCTCAGTTCCCTCAGCTGCACTTCATAAGACTTGTACTCCAGACCCTTCACCAGCTTCGTTGCCCTTCTTTGGACACACTCCAGCACCTCAATGTCTTTCTTGCAGTGAGGGGCACAGTATTCGAGGCGCAACCTCACCACTGCCGAGTACAGGAGGACGATCACTTTCCTAGTCCTGCTGGTCACACAACTTCTGACACCAGCCAGGTTGCTATTTGGCCTTCTTGGCCACCTGGGCACACTGCCAGCTCATATTCAGCCAGCGACTGACCAACATCTCAAAAGAAAAAGGGATGTCTACAA